CCAACAATACATAGTCAGATAGATAATTAGTAAGTTGGCCTGCTATGTTTAATTCTATAACGTATCTCGAGGTGACTCTTAATCACTTACGAGTGTCCTGAGAATAATTAAAATGTTTGGATATCCAAACAAGCTAGAAAAACTTGCATTCGAAGCGTAAGAGTGACTCAAATACACCACGTGGCTAGATTAGAGTTAAAATGTAGATCTAAAATCTGATACCAGCTCTTCCCATATTAGTTAAAGGTCTTAGTCGTCAACTGTCAGGCTTGTGTTTTGTTTGGTGTCTTCGGTTTACAAATTATTATAGTTATTATTATTTATTCACCCAAAGTTAATTACATCTTATTGCAACCAATTACAAGTGCACAAGATAGATTAGGGTCACGATCAAAAATGAGAAAGCATCCTAGTTATCCTAGTTTCACTACCTAACGACACATACATATACATTACTTCACTTATTGTTTATGCAATGACCTAAGTTTGTATCATTCACTTGCAATTACTATGTATATTAGTAGAAGATTAATTCTCTGAGAATGCGCTACTAAACGATTACCCACCTAAGTAATCCCAAGTAAGTTCCAATACAATGTTGCACGTAGGAAAGTATAATAACAAGGAAAGTAAACCATAGCAACAGCAACAAGCATTGAGGCTTCTCGCGAATTATCTATTCTTAATTCGTTGAATATTCAAGAAGAAGAAGAAGACAAGCAAGGAAACAGTCAGGCTTTGCAATTTAAAATTGCATTTTTATAACGATCACCGAAGGATAAGGGGTATATTCATTGTGTCGAAACGTTTGCAACGCGAAGAGGGAAGCTTCAAAGACCCCATAAACTGCATATTTTTATGATCGGCATCAAATCCTGAATTGATATGATGCATGTCCGCCTGTCCATCTGACCGCCTGTGCATTTGTGTAACATGAATGGTAAACTTTTTCCTGGCAGAGAAAATTCAGCTATCGACCTCAAATTTTGCAAAAAAAAAAACATTGGAAATTGGGGCACGCACTTTGGTACTGAAAATAACCCGAATCGGTTAAAGCAGACGCCTACGTAAGCCGAGAAAGTTTCTCCTTTTTAAAAAATTGATTTTTTGGTCATAAATTACGGCAGATAAATCTACAAAAATAGTGCGTAGTTACAGATTCGGAATACATTTAAGCTTGTTTGACTGTCCATCTGTCCAATCGTGCGTTATCTGCAATAAACATTCGCCCTTTCGCAAAAATAAAGATATCGTCTAAAAACCGGCAAAAGAGTTTGAAGATGGGCCAAATAGATCAATGAACACGCCTACATCGCCCACATGCAATCAAAGCTGAGAATATTTATCCTATCCGTTGCTGACGATATAAATTTGCATAAAATTATTCTATAAAAATAGGAAATCCCGCCACGCCCTGCGAATATTATAGATTAAGCAAATTTATATTTTTCATTTTTTTTCAACTTTTCATAGGGTAGGATTCAGTCGCCACCGAATATAATTTTTACTTTTAGAAATGATAGATTAAAAGATTTACACGCAAGGGACAGTAAGTGATTCACCTCGTAGTTGGGTCGACATTTTGATAGCTTTATAAAATGGTAATTACGGTTTAATCTTGCCATGATATGAATATTTATCCGATTCAATAAAAACGAGCAATAACAGTAATTTTATCATAAACAAAACACCTAACCAAGTAAGTCTACTGTCTAGTTTCTTTTCAGCTTAAGACAACTCGCCTAAGATGATAATAGTACTACCTACACACAGAGTACATTCGGTTCGATTATAGTAACGCTTGTAGTTCGGGCGCCTTACTACAAGGGAATTCCCCGTTTGAGGCCTAACAAAAGCGGTAAGCATCCTTTCACTTAGGTAAGGTCTGTTAAATTCTTACCAGCAAGGCTTAATAAACCAGAGCAGGCTTTCGATTTAGTAACGTGGATTTGAACGTGAAAGCTGAGGTCGAGTATAATGCCCAATTCCTGTGAAGTCCGAAGCACAGTTCACTTTATGGATATGAGTATGATAGTTAATAATAGGCAGAGTGACTCGTGCACGTCATTGAATGTAGCTTTACTGACTTACTTAATTTTTGACAGTAACGATAATTGTTTAAATGCAATTGCGTTAGGTGAAGTCGCGTAGAGTATAAAACTGTCGGTCCTAACCAACACTAATGTTTTTACTTCTTATTAATGAATTCAGTTTCTCCTCAAGCTCTTTTTTTTCCGTTATATTATTTTCGTTTGCTTTGCTTTCATTGCTCTCGCTAATCGCTAAGGCTCTATAAAAACTGAGTGATGGGCTATTAAACCCCAAAAGAAAAAGAAAGAGCTATTCATTTCTATTGACAACGATATTTCGCAAAATGTAAGAGGATTAAGAAAAGCTTGACGGAAAATTCACCGGGTAAGAGAACTAACAAAAATATTAGAACGAAAGTTGGTATTATAAGCAAAAGGTTTGCTTAAATTGATTGAAGAAGATCGCGATATTCGTTTAAAGAAAGAAGTTGAAAGAGATGAATACTGGAAAAGTAATATTTTTATAAAAAGAGGAAAAGTAAAAATATTATAGTTGGGCAACGTTATTCAAAAAATGCCCTACATTACTTTGTCTAAGACAATTTTTCATTCATTATTATTATTATTTTTAATTTCGCCAGAGATATAAATTCCAAGACTAAGCTCTTAAAAGCACTAGTATCTAAGGCTATCGGCTTTAATTTTTCATTTATTTTCTGAAAAAATATCAAAAAATATTCCTTGCTCCTATGTAAAAACTGCATTGTTCACAACAGCCCTTATATAGCAGCGGACTCAAAATGTCAACTAACTTGATCCAACTATAGCAAAATTAATGTTTATGCCAAAGATGTCATTATTCTTTGCCTGTTGCTTTGTGAAAAGCTTGCTATTTGTGGAAACTCTTATGCTGGATGGAGTCAATATATTGGGATGGGGTTGATATAGTCAATACATAGCCTTTATATAGATATTAAATCAATTTGCTAATGTGAACCAATTTTCTCCATGAAATATTTAAAAATTTCTCCCCTTTTCCACATAAAAGCTGACTTTTCATGAAAGCCGGGAGTGTTCTAGGAATTGTTCCTTCCACATCATAGGGGGAAACTAACATTCAACGATTTTTGTAACTAAATTTTGAAAATGGTATTCCTTTTTCTTTTTATATCGAGCAACTTTTTTAAATTAAAGCACGACAAAACTAGTCCAACTGCGTCCCATTTGCAATAGCATTCGCCCTTGGTTCGTAAAAGTGCATTGAAAGTTTGTCTGTTGTAAGTTGAATAAGTCACTACGGGAAAAGAAAGACAGAGGTACAGATAGACAGACAGAACAGTTTAGTTCAATTCGAAAAAAGATTCTAAGTCGATTGATAGTGAGTCTACCTCAAATCTTTCCGAACATTGTACATGTACACACAAACTTCATATACTACGTATGCTGTAAAGTATAGAAAAAGAAAGCCATTAAAAAATTAATTATTGATACAAGTTCTGCGTAAATTGTTTGTTTAACTCATAGCTCATGCAGAATTTTTCAAATATAATAATGCGGTTACTGCTCTGAAATGGTACGCATTATTCGTTAAGACATGTCTATCCCAAATTTTATCCACGATCCTCCCTGCCCAGCATATGGTGCTACTTTCTGAATGTGGGATATAAACATTTCGAGTTAACAACTTGACTAACTTTAAATTCACAAACACATAAATAACCTACACCAAAGGATATATTACGTTTGTGCGGATATATGTAACAATTTTTATTATACCGACCAATTTGTCCATACCGATCGCACTTTATGAGATATTTTGATAAAATTCGGTACACTGATGTGCTTTGAATCAAAAGCGAACACTGTTGATAATCGTTCAGATCGGACCACTTTTTCGATCCTTTCCCATATAAGACCTTATTTTGAAAAGTCGTTTCAGGAATAATTGTAAGATGTGCTGTAGGTTGCTTAAAAGAAGGTCTCGGCTCGCTACTGAGCTTTTTCTAGCTTTTCTCGCAATTGCTTCAAACTCCTCTTATTAACAACAAAGTGAAAAAGACATGTAAAAAGCAATTGAAAAAAGTCTAGCAGAAAGAATACTCGATCCTTTGAAATTGTGTTATACGAAAACCATGTAAAAATATTTGCAAATTCTGCACCGTATTATATAAAAACCGTCCCTGACAAGTAGCGTGCGATATGAAAGACGTCTGCATATGTATATTATTATTATTATTATTATTATTATTATTTTTATTATTATTATTAATTTCGCCAGAGAAATAAATTCTAAGACTAAACTCTTAAAAGCGCTAGCATCTAAGGCTATCCGATTTTATTAAAAACTCTATCGCACTTGGGATTCGAACCCACGACCATTGATTTGCTAGTCGAAATTCCTCGCCTTCGGCTACTCAGGCGGATTGCATATGTATATACATGTATTAAGTTTCAGATTTCTATCGAAGTCTTGGCGACCTTGAACCATTCAGTAATAGATGAAGAAAAGGCGCAAAAAAAGCGAGCAGACACGGAGACGAACTGACTCAACTTGAAATCGATAATTCCAAAAAAAAAAAACCCATATATTTTTTAGATTCTTTGATTTCTGTTTGTTACGAAGGCAAGAGCAAGTCTAATATATGCAGACGTCAACGCAAACGATCGGCTAAACGCAAAAGCAAGGTCGGAAAAATCTTAACATTTTTATTTATTATGATATTTACTTTTTAATTGCTAGGGTACACGCTAAAAACAAAGCATAACTTTTGGCAGAATTTGTTCCAACAACAGTCTACAAACACGAAGACAAATCAAAAAGACATTCCTTACGCACAAGCTGGCGCGTACTAAGAATTGATTTTTTAATATAAATGTATTTTAATAGGGTTTTTAAATTATTGGTGTAAACCTCCCCCACCTCTATCCCATTTTCGTACTTTCATTACTCTTCTATGCCCCCCTTCTTACACTCAACGATTTTTAAAAACATTATTTAATTCATGTCTTCATTTCAGCACTTCAATGATGGGTGTTTTCTTGTTTTAAAACAACGGTTTATTTTTTTTTAAATAAATTTTTTTTTAAATCTTTCACTTTGTTAAGATTACGATAACGAAATCCGCCTCATGAGTTATAAAATAGTTTCTAATAGTATTATGATTTAGATCGATTTCTATAACACTGGCTTTGCTCATTACTTAAATCAAGAGATCGCTGGCACTATCCATATAACAATAAGCAAACAATTTTTAAAATCTGCTATCGCTTGTAAGAAACTATTTTATGATAATCACTTTTTTTTGAAAAGATTTTCTTTCAATTTAATTTTTCAAATATCTTTTTTTAATTTTTTCAAATATCTTTTTTGATTATTTGTTTCATTCTTTATTCCTTCATTATTTTCGTCGCGCATATGAAGCTTCGTTTAACGTAATTTTTATACCGTCAATATTTGTAAGCGAACCATTCATTTTAACATTTTAAACTAAACAAACTTCCGTAAGACTGTTAATATTTTAACTGTGTTATGTGTGTGCTCAAAAAAAAAAAACATACAAACAGCTGTAAATCGGATTTATCGACAAAAACTGCTTTATCCACTCCACGATAACGAGAAAGTGTTTTTTTTTTTTTCAAATTCGTTTGTTCTCTTATTATGCTCTTTTATGTTGTGCACAAGCTTTCCAACATAGCGGCAAGA